AGCACGACAGGTGACAGTACCAGAGATTATCTGAGCAGAAACAGAAGTGGGCTGAAAATGGATGTGATCCGCATTCCATTTAACCCAAATACGGCCAGGCGATGCTTTATCAAAATTGTGACAACTATTCTCGTGGGCAAAAATAGAGTGAGCCTCATGAAAGAAAGGATCTTTAAGAGAAGACGGAGAAATTCTATTTTCTAAGATGCAAATCATATCAAGATTAAAGGAAGAAACCAGATGCTTGCAACATAAGACTTTATCAGGGCGGTTGAACCCCCTGATATTCCAAGCAGCTAAGGCCGGAAAAATCATCGGGAACCATTTTTGGGGGAAGGCTTCTTGGCTTGCTTCCCCTTAGTGGACTTTTTAGACGTGCCAGAAACCGTGTCTTTCTTGTATTTAGAGTTTTTGACATTCACAAACTCAGTATTGTCCGCAACGTCCATAAAGGAAGAAGAATCTTCCTGCACCTGAAGCATATCAAACCGATTGGGGGAAATGACCCCTTGAGACATAGGGACAAGTTTCTGTTGCAAATTACAAGAAGAAGAAGTTTCTTCAGGAACATCATTGGGAGAATTCAAATTTGAAATTGAAGAAGGCCCAACAGCAGGAATGATGGGAATGCTAAGCAAATCAGCTGGCTTAGCAGTATCCTTGGGGTGGGAGGTGGGAGAGTGTGGTTGATATAACAAAGGAAGTCCAATGATATTAGTGGCTGGAGGATCTGTAATCATGGGTAGAATTGAAGTTTGAGCGTGAGGGGAAGGCTCGGGAGGGAGATTGGAGGGAATCGAATGAGCTTCCTGTAATTGCTTAGGAGGCTCCAGAGGTGGCTTATGTTGTGCATTAGGAGGGCGGGAACGAGGTGGCTCATGGGAAGGTCGAGGTCTCGGTTTCCTGCTGTAGCTCCTACCACGGGTGGGATTCGCAACAGTGGACGTCCCAGGTTCCAAGTTTGGATTTGCAGGCTTTTGCGGACAGAACGAGGAGTAATGCATTAAGGACTTACAATGAGAGCAGGGAGAGGGATGCCATTCGTATTGAACTTTGAGATTGACGATGTCACCGTCCAGAGAAACAGGGATCTCATCTGGATATGTGGCTTTGTTGTCAACGAGCACACAGATTCTGGCAAAATTAAGACGAGTTCTCTGGATGGTGAGATTGTCAGCAGCAATAGGGATACCGACCTTGCTAGCAATGCGAGAGATGCCCTCGGAGTTCCAGAAGGCCAATGGCTGATCGTGAATCTTGATCCAGATAGGAATGGTCGTGAAATTTTCTTTCTTTGGCTTAAACTTGGGATGCCACTTTTGGAGGATGAATGGTTTACCTAAAAGGAACCAGACTCCTTTAGCCCACACCATATCACACCATATCAAAGTCCTCCGAGCAGGAGAAGCGGAGAAGAAAAAAACCGTCACTTAGAGAAAGAAGTTGAAGCGTTCCCTTCAGAGCCCAAGTTCTATTCATGGCGCCCAGCAAAGCTTCGTAGAAAGGTCTTCGACCGATCGAATAGCCAACTAAACTCAGATTCTAGTCATCCGCACCAATAGCAAGCTTATCACCTCGGAATAATTTCAGGTTCCGAAGGGTGGAACGAGAAAGTGAAGTCTTTGGGAGAGGGAGCTGCCGGATCAAAGATATGCGTCCAAAGGCGCTGGGGAGAAGAGGGAGGGACCGCGTAGAAGAAAGAGGGGGGAACTCAGAGGAGGCCATAGAAAAAATGGGGGAAAGCCTCCGGCGTAGCCAGAGGAAGAAATGGCGGGAGAGGAGCTCACGAAGAAACCCTAGCAGAGCTCACAAGTAGCTTATTTATTTATCCTTAGCCAGAGAATATCATTCTTATTTAAATAATTTTTATAATATTATCAGAAAGATAATAAATTAAATAAGAAACAAAAATAATAATAATTAAACTAAATAAGATATAATTGTTTAATATCTTAACAATTTTATATTAAAATCATTCAATTATAATAAATTTTTAATGCATATTATATTACAAGCCGGTTGAAATGGTGACAAGTTGAGTTAAGAGTTAGCATAACGTTTGCTTGTTAGTTCATCTAACTCAGCTGACAAGTCATTTATCAAATTGAGCTCGAGTTGAATCAAATATCTGCCTGACTTAGTTACACGCATCTCCCAACCTTCTTTTATGAGTGTTGTTTATATATTTATATCAAATGAGAAAATACATAATTTAAATAATAAATATGTTAAAACTTATAAATATTTTTGTAATGCAAAAAAAATTATAACAATAAAAATAAATAATATTTATTATTAGATTAAAATATTTGTGAATATATTACATATATATTTTTAAATTTAAAATAAATTTTAGTAGTATAACATTTAAACTAAATTTTAATATTAAATATATAAAAAACATATATACATTTAGTGATATAACTCTTGTGTATTATGTTATATTTAGGCATTTTAAGGAACTTAGCAGCTATTAGTAGCATTCTTTTCTCCTCAAATCTTAAAAAAAAAAAAAATCCTATTTATTGCAATGTTCAAGTGAATGTTCTTCAGGTAGTTTACCATCATCTAAAGACCCCCAAAGAGCACAAGGGTTTAGTTTAAAATGACACATGAACTTAGAGAATCATTGAGAAACTTCATACAGAAGTTCGATAAGGAAATGCTTGATATGAAGAACCTAAACCAGTAATTACCCAAGTAGCCTTGACTAAAGGATTAAGAAAGGTCTTTTTAGATTTGCGCTCAACATATAACATCCAAAGACATGGCCGAGCTATTGAAACTTACCAACAATCATGTCAATGTTGAGGAGTACAATCGAGTGGCTGAACCCATCAAGACCACTCGATGTCATGAGACCATCACAAGAAGAAACTTCCATCAAGGGAGGGATTAATAAAGAATCATCCCTATGAAAGGAGAAACCTACAATTGAATTTCTAGTGTAGTTATAAGTGCTCTAGTCCATATGGGATGCCCATCCAGCCAAAGCCTACGAGGATAGTGGCACCCCAATACCAATGATTGAGGAGTACAAAAAAGTTACTCGCTGACCCTAAACTTATCCAACTTAAACTTTGCTAAGAGTATCTATGCTCAAACTTTTAAAGGCCATATTGAATAAAGAATCCTTTAGTCGCCCGCCATCAATGAAGATCAATAGTGCTTAGGATACTTAAAGATACTGCGCATTCCATAAAGACCATGAACATGACATTGAAGAGTGCCATCATCTGTGGAACTTAATTCAAATTTCTTCAAGGTAGAGAAAATTAAGCAGTTCATTCTTACCAACCTAGAGCAAAAAGTGCCAATGAACCTAAATCAACCAAAGCCATTCACATCGTCAGAATAGTGCCCTCCATTATGGGTTCGGTCAAACCTCCCATTCTTATTCTTATGAAATATCTATCGTGTCTCGTTCCTGTCGCCAACCTCCTTTCTCGCTCCCTTTGTCCTCCAAACTCTGTAGCCTACTGACTACGGTCCTCAGACCATAGTCGCTTGACTACAATACCTCCAATCTCCATCATCAAACTATGACCCTCCGGCCTTCACTAATTACGGTCCTCAAACCACAATCACCCAACTATGGCCCCTCCAACCTCCGTCGCCTGACTATGGTTTCTCCGACCTCTGTTGTCTGCTAACTATTGCACAATAAATCTTGTCATTTGTATGGTTCATATTATATGTTACATATCTTATCGTTAATGCTTTAATAAATAAAATTTATCAATTAAGTTTGCACAACAAATTTATTTATTAATTTTCTGCTTGATTAGTGGAACATCATCATTTGAGTAAATTCTTAATCTTAATTAAAATATTAAATTTACATTCTTATTGTAATTAATAGTTTTATATATTTTTTAAATTAATAGTGTTTTTAATATATGTCATAGTTTATACTAACTTTAAAATAAATATAATAATTTTGAGCATTTTCAACCAAAAAAAAATTGATCAGAATATTCCTGAGGCAATTTTAATCATCCACTACCTAACCTTTCTATCTTCAATTTAAGCAACATCTCAATATTAATAAAAATATTAAATTTCTATTATTATTGTAATTAATAGAGTTTTATTTTTTTATATATATTTATAGTGATTTTAATAGAAATATTTCATAACAGACGAAGTGAAATTAAATTTGAAAATTATGATTGAGAATTTGAGACCACGGAGAAACCAATTGTTCCTTGGAAGAAGTTTCTTTTGGAGATTTAAGAAGTAACTTAATATTAATGATAATATTAAACTTCATTTGAAGATAATTGTGTTTTATTTTTTAAAAATTATGGTACTAGATTTTTGTTAGTTATGGTGATCAGTTTTTAATTGTTTTGTTTACTGCTTTTCATTTTGCTTTATGATTTCTGTACAATGATTTTGTGTGAATAAGAAAACATTCTTCTTCTAATTTGTTCTGTGAGATTAGTAAGGTTCAATTTGCTGTTTCAGTTTTCTAACTGGAGGTTTGTTCTTATAGAAGACGTTGGATCCATTTCTTGCTGTTGGGTTGCAGAAATGAATCTGGTTTTTCTTTTATTCCAAATATGCTGAAAGAAGTTTCGTATTCTTCTCAACTGATGACAAAGCAATCAAAATTACACAAACTTGCCAAACCAAAGCTTCCATCTCAGAACTACTGAAATTAAATTTTAGAAGCTAACAAGAAATCTGAGAGTACGATAGATCCATTTCTTGCTGCTGGGTTGCAGAAACGAATCATGATCTTGCAAGGAAGGTACCTCTTTCATCTTTCCAAAATTCGATGAAATACTTGCATGCATAGCTCAAATTTGTTTAGAATTCTATGATAAGTAAGGCACAAACACATACCTTGTTGTCAGCAGTTGCTTTGATTCCCTACTGAACTTGCTTATAAATATTCACTTGCTCTTCTCTCCCTCTCCATCACTCAGACTTTGATAAACCTTACCAGTAACATCCTGCAAATTGTTCTTAATCCTTCTTCAGCAAAGCTCGAAATGGCCATGATCTTGGATGCTTTTATGAGCAAATTCTCTACTTTGCTCACTGATTTTGTCCAAGATGAGGTGATCATGCTGCTTGGTGTGAAGGACGAGCTTCAAATGCTACGTAAACGGATGAGGAGCATACAATGCCTTCTAAAAGATGCTGAAAAGAAAAAGTTTAATGAGTCATCCACCGAACTCTGGCTTTCTGAGCTTAAGGATGTGATGTATGATGCCGAGGATATCATTGACCTCTGCAGAATTGAGGGCACTCAGCTACTCACTGATCAAAATCCCAAATCTAAATCTTCTTCGGTATGTTGCAATTTCTCATCTGTCTTCTCCTGTTTCACTAGTGTTCCTTTGCGTCATGAGATTGGAAACAGAATTAAGGATATTAATAAAAGACTCAAGGAGATATATGAAGATAGAGAACGTTATAAACTAGAGAAATCCACAATATCGGAAACCCCACAAATTACTCTAGTTGATTCTCGTCAAACTTCTTCCATGATTGATCCTTTTGTTGTGGGAAGGGAAGTCGAGGTTGCAGCAAATAGTTTGGTTGATCATTTGATTCAGGAGAAAGTTGATGAAAAATGCCGTCTTTTTGCTATTGTCGGCATGGGCGGGATAGGGAAGACAACTCTTGCTCAAAAAATTTTTAACCATCCTAAAATTCAGGCCTATTTCAATTCAAAAGTGTGGGTTTGTGTTTCACAGACTTATGCGGAAACTGAGTTATTGAAGCAAGTAATAAGAGGGGCTAAGAGAGACTGTAGAGATGTTAATACTAAATCAGAACTACAACACATTCTTAGTGATTCTGTTTCCTTAGATCAGAGCCTTTTTCTTGTTTTAGATGATGTGTGGCGGGCAGATGTGTGGGTTGATTTACTTAGAGTCCCATTGTATAACTCTAACAAGAGTGTAAGAGTCTTAGTCACAACTAGATATGAAAATGTTGCTATGGATATGAAGGCAGCATACATTCACCCTGTTGCACATCTTTCTGAAGATAGCTGTTGGGATATGCTACGTAGGAGGCTTTTTTCAGAGGGACAAGAGGAGGTAGAGAATGGCTTGAAGGAGCTAGGATTTGTTATAGTAAAAAGATGTAGAGGCCTTCCTCTTGCAGTCAAAGCCATTGCTGGTGTTCTTTCGAGTAAACCGCGTACTAAGAAAGTCTGGAAAAATTTTCTCAATAATACTGCATGGTCCATTCAAACCCTTCCTGAGGAAATTAGTGGTGCTTTGTACCTTAGTTTTGAAGATCTACCTTCACATTTGAAGCAGTGTTTTCTATACTTCTCTTTATTTCCTGAGGATGCCTGGTTATATCCCCATGAGCTCGCTCAACTTTGGGTGGCAGAAGGATTCATAATAGAGCAACAAGATTCTTTAATGGAAGATTTAGCGGAAGAATGCTTCGATGAGTTACACAATAGAAATCTTTTGCTGCCAAAAGAAGGTTTTAGTAAGTGCAAAATGCATGATCTTATCCGATCTTTAGCTATTTTTTTGTCCAAAGAAGAAGCTTCTTTTGGAGATTTGAATGTCAGGAATTCAATAACATCTACCAAGCTTCGCCGCCTATCAGTCATAGAAAAAGAGGGAGCAGTAGAAATAGTCAATTATGTTGCAGATCAGGGAACCCTAAGAACATTGCTTGCTTCATATTCTGATTTGTTGTTGGATGATGAAATATTGAGGCGACTTTCACATCTACGTGTCTTGGACATTTCTTGTACACAAATTCAAATACTTCCTGACTCTATAAGAAAGCTAGTGCATTTGAGGTATCTTAATTTGAAAATGACAGAAATAAGGGAAATACCAAAATCCATTGAGCAATTAACAAACCTACAATTCTTGGACCTAAGTTCTTGCCGAAATTTGAGACAACTTCCTAGTGGAATCACTGGGTTATACAGTCTAAGGCACCTTGATATTCTTGCATCGCCTATTAGTTTCATACCAAAGGGAATAGAGAAACTGCAACAGCTTAATTATCTAGGCAACTTTGTGGTGGCCAACAATGACTCCAGCAGTAAATTAGAAGACTTGAACTCTCTGAAACAGATAAGAACGCTCATCATTAGCAACTTAAAAAGACTTCAAAGTGAAACCATAATTCTTAAAGAACTACTTTACCTTTCTACTTTGAAGTTGCAGTTCTTCATTTACGAATTCTACTATGTGGAGGAAGAGATGGCAATAAGCAAGGAAAATGAGCTAGCAGTAAGCGAGGAAGATGACCCAACAAGAGAGGAAAAGGAGCTAGCAGTAGAGGAGTTGTTCGACAGGATAATACCTCCACAAAGCCTAGAAAATTTCACAATAGATGGCTTCTTCGGCCGTCGTTTCCCCAATTGGATGGTCTCATCATCTTTTGAACTTTGCGTTCCAAATTTGACTAAATTGGTGTTCCATAACATAGAATCATGCACTCAACTCCCATCATTAGGTCAGCTGCCTGAACTTAGAGAGCTTGTTATTGATGGTGCAAAAAAAGTAAAGAAACTTGGGCCAGAAATTTTTGGTATTGATGTCAATTCAACTAGGATTGCTTTCCCCAAGCTTGAACGACTTGAAATCTCGAGTTGTCGTGAGTTGGAAGAATGGTCTTTTGGTGCACAAGTTGAGAAAAATGCATCTCCAAGACTCAAGTTGCTTCCATGTTTACGGGAACTAGAGATCTTTTTTTGCCCGTCGCTAAAACAACTATCAAAAGGTCTAAAGTACTCTAATATGAAGATTCTCAAAATAAGTAGTGCTTACAGCTTGAAATTAGTTGACAATCTCCCTGCTGAAGTTGAGGAACTAAGATTAATTGACTGTAAAAATTTGGAAAAGGTCTATTGTGCCCCTACATTAAAGATGCTCGAAGTTCAAGAGTGCGGAGCTTTGGCTTGCATGGAGAAGCTTGATTCATTGCAAAAATTATATTTCAGTGATACATTTAAGGCCAATCTTCCAGAGTGGATATTGAAGACTCTACAACAACGGGCATTACAAAATGATTATAATGATGACTTCCAACTAGAATTGGAGTGCAATTTTCAGGTTATTCGAGGATGTTTAAAAGGAGGTTCTTATTGGGACTTAATTGAACCTATTCCACAAGTAAAAATCTTCAGTGACAGAGATTATCTTCGATATAGTAAACATCCATATGTTTACGATACAAATCTCTAATTAATTCAGAAGTCGGTGGTTTGTTAAGGATTATTAAGTCATTGTGGTGGTGTTTGTATTATAATTAGTGTGTGCTTCTTTGTATAACTTTGAGTGAGTGAGCTATATATTATGCCATATCACTTATTGTTTGTATGCTTTGCTTAATTTGTGTGGGACCATCCTAGCTTCTTCATGATTGGATTGCTTCTGCTTATGTTTCTGCTTTCTGTTATTGGTTTAATGTGAATATTATGTAAAAAAGAAGTTATTGTAAGCTTTTTTTAAGCAATGTTTTAATTAAAGGGTATAATTTTGAATGAATATATAATTTTCTATTATAGTTAATAGGGGTGTCAATTTTGGGTCACGGGTCGGGTTCGGGTCGAACCCGAACTAACCCGAAATGATCTTTAAAATTAATAATTTTTTTAAAAAATAATATAATTGTAAAATTATTAATAAAAATTTTAAATAACGAAAAAATTTCTAATTAATAATATTTAATTTTAGATAATAATTTTGCTTAAATTATTAAAATCTTATAGTCATTTTCTTTAATATAATTAAATATTATTAAATTTAAAATTTATTTGAATATGATTAAACCTGTTAAATTTCAAATATCAATTTTCTTACGATTATATTTTTATTTTTTAAATACATTCAAAATAATACCTTCTGATAAAAAACATTTTAAAAAAACTATTTATTAAAAAAGAAATTTATTTTATTATGTGGGGAATAAGTTGATCATACCAACCTTGTTCCCTTTAATTATTTATTTTACTTTATTTTCTTACTAGTTTAATTAATTTTGATGCTCCTTTAAAAAAAATCAATTGGATATTGAGACTTGAAATTATTTCAAAGATCTCAAGTGAAGAGTTAAAAAAGAGGCAAGAGAGACTAATTATCAATAAAAAAAACAAATAATAGAAAAACAAAAAGAGTAAATGGATGGTGGATCTTATATCCCAAATAATTTACTTACATATTCATGGTATGGTATGGTAGAAATCAGCTTTCCACCTATAAAAACACTAATAAATAGCAATTTACTCATAATTTTAAAAATCAAATTGAATTTCTAGCAATCATTATCGAGAATTTTCATTAGCAATCACCATCATCGTCTCATAACTTTCGTCATTCAAATATGATTGACTAACTAATAATATCCAACATGCAATTCTATGGTTGACTAACTTTCTTATTGACTTTTAATTGTCTATTTATGGACCCTGACTTCTTTAATCCTTAAGACATAAATGTTTAATCACATCTTCTTCAATTTTGAATAAAATCAAATTCTTGTATTAATAAATATAAGTGGATTATTGCAATTAGGCATGGCACCATTGTTTTACTCATTTATAAAATTTTATCGTAAAAATTCTTCTTCTTACAACTTCTATTTAAACATGTTGAATCTTCGTATAAAATTATAATATTAAACACATTATATCACCATAAAATTTCTAACAAATTATAATAGCAAATATAACCATCTATGTTCAAAAATTCTTTATATAAATGACAACTATGAGTGACATCAAAGATTACATTGTGAAATCTAAAAATTAAACACTGACATGATTTAGGTTTCGTTTGGGACAATTTTCTTACTGCTTTCAGAAGTAACTTTCTAGCACAAAAATTCAATGAAAGTTGGGAAAAGCATTGGCTAAAAGCTGTCCCAAACAAAGCCTTTGTTTGAGACAACTTTCTTTCTAGTTACAAAAGCAGGTTTTTTATACAAAAATTTTTTGAATTAGAAAAATTTTTATTAGAAAATTATTTTAAAACACAATTATGAAACTGTCACAAATGAAGCTTTTTCTTTCTTACTACTTATTGAAGCAATTTTTTTAATGTAAAAAATTTAATTTTTTACTAAAAAATTGTTTTAAAAAGTTGTAACAAAACCATCCCAAACTAAACCTTAGTTTCAATCAAAAGTTAAAAGAAATGCCTTACAAAATTATTATTGAAAAAGGGCCAAAATATTTTTATTAGTGTTCTAATATATTAGATATAAGATCAGAAAAATAATGCTTAATGAGAAATTAAACAACTAATGCATATGAGGGTATTGGGCATACGATACAATGTATTATTCATTGTAGGAGTAAGGTACGGAATTTAAAAAAAAAAAAAAACAATTCTTGAATAAAGAATGAATAGTTGGTAATAAATCCTACTATTTTTTTAACCTCATATATTTATTCAAATAAAAGGGGGTACATCCCAGAATCAGGAACAAGATAGCCACGAGCTACAACAAGCACAAGAACAAAACTTAAAACCCAAAACCAACAACTGGAAAAAAGAAAGCATCGAGAGTGGACTCTCGGGGTGGAGGCCTCCAGCACCAACACACGAGGCTAACATGGGCCATCCATAGGTGACAAAACCAGAATGGAGCTAGAATAAACGCGGCACCTAGGTTTCCAATCAACCAAGCCATAGAGAGGACGCAGGGGCCTCCTCCTCATCATCCAATCAACACCAAAATAATGGAAGCAATCAACCAAAAAAAACATACCAATTACTTCCTACCTCTACGTTTAAATTTAGCACGACCACGACCAGGGAAGCGGCCAACAACATCTTTCTCAAAGTCAATACAATCCCCTTCTTCCCCACTAGAATGAGAAGACATGGCATCCTCTAAGTAAAGCTAGTCAGTTTGAAACAAAACTGAATTGTTATCGGACTTAGCCACATGATCTTCATTTCAGCATTCGACAAGACAGAAATAGGGATGTTCACAAAATTATCATTCCCATCAACATCACAATTAGGAGCACATTCCAATTGCCCCGTATTATTCACCACCATATTTAATGAAGAGGAAGTAATCTCCCAATTATCGTCCACAACACACCCAGGAGCCACCCGAATAGGAGAAGCAGATAAAATCCTACAGACGACATAACAAGAGAATTAGAGGACCCAGAATGATCAGCAACCACCCCAGTCATAACAACCTCAGCCAAAACACACGGGTAGACACAATACCCACATGAGACAAGGCTAATTTGGAATTAAAACCACCACCAATGTCACTAGCACAAAAACGAGATGTTAGGATAACAAGCTCGAGCCCGACAACAACAAGGTCCGCCTGATGAGACATGAACACAAGTAAAACACCCTAAACGGCTACTACCTCCTTAGCAGTAATAGAAATAGGTTCACAATCAAACACATCCACATCATTTGAACAAATTACAGGAGGGGAGAAAATGATCTCAACAGGATGCACAGATGGTAAAGCAATAGGAGATAGAGCAGCTAGGTTAGGACTCGAATTAGTAATAGAATTATTATTACCTAAACCTAAATCCGTCACAGTAGCAGCAAGATTATCCTTCTGCAAAGGGGGCTGAGATAAATGCGGATGCAAAATACCGCATTCTGACTTGGAATGACCTAAGGATTTACAATGCAAACAATACAAAGGCAAATACTCCAAAGTAACCAACTGGACATAGCCTAAATTTTCTGGGTCAACCCAAATCTTGTTTGGGAATTGCTTAGAGAAGTCCAATTCAACAAAAACTCGAGCAACTAAAGGGAAAGAACTAGAGGAGGTAACATGATCAATTTTTAGGGGTTGACCGAAAATAAAGCCATGACCTTGAAGAATCCTCGAAGAAAAGAGATGAGGTCTCAAGTTCGAGAAGGACACCCAAATAAGGATTACGGGAGATTCAACAACCACATCAAAAGAAGGTGACCACTTAATGAAACACATGTAACACTTGTTCACGAAATAAGAACAATGCGCAAAGATACGACAATAATCCAAATCATTAACTAATTTAATCAAAACGTTCTTCGAATTCGTAACCATAATAGAGAAATCTCCATTTAGTTTCAATTTGAAAAAGAATTGTTGAATAGCCTCAAGAGACGGCCTGTTAGTTGGAAACTTCCCCACCAAGGCAAAATTGAAAGGAGCGGCAAGCGATAAAATTTTGGCCTCGGAAATCCATGACGAGGGAAGGCTACAATGAGTAGAAATTTTAAGTTCAGGAAAGGGGGAGATGTTATCGGAAAGAGCCTCCTGAAACAACTTGGACGATGGTTTACCATCAAGAAAACCACCGTCAAATAAGAGCTTACCATCCATTTAGAGCAATAGACACAAAAAGGATGGAGAGAAACACTTCCTAGGGAGAAAAACAGCAGTTGGAGACCTGCACGACAAAGAATCACACCGGCGTTTGAAACCCTAGTAGAGCGCATACCCTAAAAAAAATGCTTGTCATGCTTGTTTATTACTTATGTTTTGTCCTTGAACGCAAAATAGCTCAAGGACAACCCATCAATTTCATTTAAGCTTTTAAAAAAAACTTTAAAAATAAATGAAATTTAATGAATTTTAATTATAAAAATAAAAACTTCGTATCTACAAATCCATGACACATACTCTCTGACTGGAAGCTTTGTCAAAAATTGATATATTTTATATTATAATATATTGAGGTTGAAACTTAAATGTTCTCTAATATTTGTTTATGAATAGTGAGGTGTATGATGCACTTGAGAGTCACGAAGTCTTATATTAATCAATTTTCGCTTGAACATGACCCCATAAATTTGTAAGATCCCCTTCAATGATATAACACATGATTGTTGATAAGAATCTTTAGATTAAATTAGATTGGCTACTTTAACTGAATAAATAGAGCACGATCCATTATAAGTCATGATGATGAAATCATAGGATCTTAACTGAGTTTTCATCATCCTTGTCCTATCTACTCTAAGTTAATAGTGATATTCTTTGTTCGAATTAAATCACAACTATTAAGTTTTAGAGCCTATGATTAGGAAGGATAATTAGTCCAAAAACTTATGCATAAGAGATATTTTGAGAATATCATAGACACTTCACTTCACAAAATAATGATGAAATCTCTTTCTTTGAAATATAAAACTACTTGATGTTAATTCATAAGGTTTTATAATGAATTAATTTTAAGGGTCTATTTAGGACAACTTTTTAG